CGCCGGGCCCCACTTTCCTCCTAGACACGGGGAGCTTCAGCGATGTCAGTCTCTTAAGTTTTCTTCCCGAAAACATCATTCTAGCAAATGATGGCTCTGAGTTAAAATGTGTTATAGGCAGCCTTGATATTGGGAACACCACGTTTAGAATATGCATTGTTAAGGCTTTTGTTTTCCACAAAGAAGGCCTTCTTATCAGCAAAGTAAAGTAGGTTTTTAGGGGAGGCTGTGAAACCCCGTTTATCCGAAATATGGCTGAACACAAGTTCTACTGGTTCCTAACCTAAGTCCCGAATTTGAGGACAAAGGGGATGAAGGGAAGGGGAAAGCGTGTCTTCCAGAAACACGGGGTGCCAGGCTAGGCCTCAACACATGGTGTGCTCTTGGCAACCACCCACTTCCCCTTCTGCATCCTGTACTACCTGAGCCTCCCTCCCCACGGTTCCCTGGGGACCTGTAGCCCCGTGGCAGCGCCTTCCTGAGCTCACCTCCACCTCTTCCAGCAAACTCCTCCCCTCAAAGGTGGTAAGTGTCTACAACTTCTCTCCCATCACACAGTTCTTCATTTCCTCTGTGCCAATGTTTTCATTCTTGAACTCTTATCAAGGTTTTTATTTTTAGGTTAAGAGGATGTGTAATGGAGGAAACAAAGACCATGTGTTTTTCTCCCGTGACCTACAACGTCTGCATCCCCAGATGGTCCTAACTCCTATCCAAGCCCCTTCTCCCCTCTCACGATGGCTCTTCCATGGGATCAAGAGCTGGGGTGCAGCAGGGCTGCTTCTGACTGCCTGTGCAACCATGACCACTCAGAGGGTATCTGTCCCGTGCACTGGCATGGCAATCCACTGTCCCTCCCAGATACAAGTGAAAACCAAGTGTGCTCCACTGAACGGTGTACAGAGACCGTATTCCCCGGAAGGGTGGTGTTAAGAGCTTTGACATCCGAGCCTTGTTGGTTTTCAGAACTAAGGCCTTGAGAGGCTCTAGAAAGTTGATCCACAGAAGGTTCCAACCCAATAAATGTGTCCTTTCTCCATCAGAACAGACGACACACTTCAGAAACACACTACAATAATACTTGGTGGCTGCCTGCCGAATTTAGCCCCAGTCTCAAAAAACATCCTTACTTGGACTTCCACAGCCTTCATTGTGTCCCAGAATCATTGATGTCTTCTCTTGGTGTCTGCCAGTGCTTGCCAAAAGCCTTTAAGATGGGTGGCAGACAAATTGAAAACCCAAGAATATAATACGAATTTCACACTTCATAGAGGGCTATTTACCTGTTCCTTTTACTTTACTAAACCTGCAGTTAACAAAACCTCGCCTGCCCAGTTTTAACATTAGAGGGGAAAAAAACAGCTCTCAGCAGCGTATTCTGTTCTGAAAATAGGAGGAGTCGCCATCCCTTGTCTCCATGTGAAGTCAAATATGCAAAGCAAAAGATCCAAGGGTGTCCGTACATGCAGGCAGGATTTCTACCCGCTGTTCTGCTGAGAGCCAGGGCCTCTCGCAGAGCGACAATAGAAAGGGCTGGTGCCTCCTTACTATAGAGGCCTTATCCCTTGATTGCTTCAGCTTCTGGAAAGGAAAACACCATCAGTTTCCTTTAGTCACTTTGGGCACGCTTGTCAATAAGAGAGAAGCTAGCCTAATTAAAAATCAACCCATACCATAAAGCTAATTAATATGTTTCAAAATCTTAGTTTTAGAATTTTTATCGCATATGTGCTAGTAATGTCTCTCAATTTGGTCATTTAGTCATAATAGATTTATTTATTTATTTAATTTATTTTAGCCCTTTAAAATCCCCAGCATGCCGCTGTGGGGTCAACACTGAATTTCTCAGCACCTGAGGAAAAGAGCCTATTCAACCCTCGCTCCCACATGTACTCATTGCATAGCGCCTTTCTCCACCTCCACCTGGCACAGGCCCGGCACATATGCCCCTTCACTGTCATCCTTGTATCAGAGTCTCCGTTATGCTCGCTCTTTCAGGCGATAGATAGCACATTCTATTGTGCGTTACAGTGTTTGTGAACTTGTGAGTCTTAGAGAAGATTGTAAGCTCCTTGAGAACAAAAACTCTCTCTTAATGATCTTCAGATCATCTTCATATCTCCCCCAGCAGCAACTGGCAGATACTTTGCACAGAGCCAGGCCAGCCACTTGGTAAATGTGTATTGAAATGGAGCGACATTAGCATCTGCCTGGGTCCTCCCTGCTGACTCCGTGACCTTATAGGACAGGGTAGAGCTGCCCCTGTGAGGTTCTGAGATCGATTCTTCATGAGAGTGAAAGGGCCCATCGTTGTCCCTGGCGACAGCTGGTGATTTCAAACTTCAGACGTTACGGTTGGCATCCCACCATGTAACCGCTACATCACCAGAGCAATGAAAAACGATGCCGTCTGCAGAGCGGGCTAGTTCACTGGACAAAACTTTTCCATCTTAATTTAGATTCTGTTGATAACTAGTGTTCGAGACTACAGATTGCTTACCAATAAGTTCTAAGTAAATTATTGTTATGCTGAGGAATCGAATGCCAGTTTCATCACTCTCCCCCACGTGTTGGTTTCTTTTCTGTACGGAACAGTGCACATCCACTGGATGACGTGAATTTGCTTTTTAATTCCAGCACTTTATCAAGAACTGCCTCCAGAAATAAAGGAGCGATCCCCTCCTTTGAGCCCCAAGGAGAAAACCAAAACAGAAAAACCGTCTTCAGCTTCTCAAAAGGTAAACGTTCTGGAGGGTCTCAGGTGCATGTGTGCTTGGATGCGGCTCTCTCTGGTCCGGGCTTGCAGTCCTCCGTCTTCATATTATTACTTTTTCATTTGATCCTGACCCCCGCCTAAGGAAGCACATAAGGCAACTGCGGTGGGAGCTGGGTTGCAGCTGAGGAAAGAAGGGGCTGAGAGAGGTGAAGGTGCACCACCCCCTCCCCGACCCTCCCCCGGCCCCCAGACACACCTAAGCGATGGTCGAAAGACCCAAAGTGTATTGCATAATACCCTCGCCCCTGGTCTTGTTAATTTAGCTGTGACACTGATACTGAAGAACCTGCAGTGGGGCAGCAGGTGGGTCAATTTCTGCCTAAAGTCACCAGATCCCACAGAGTAAAGTGTTCCGTCTTCCTGGACCATTTCTCTCGCCTGCTGGTGATATCAGGGGCTTTTACATTAAATATGAGTGAATTATCAACCAAAGAAGGATGTGGTTTTCAGCCCATGCCATCAGGTCCTTTGAGGACATCAGTCCATCTTCTGACATTAACAGTGCTCTCGGTGTGCTGGTAGAGCATGTAATAAGCACTGTGCCATCATATCTATTGCTTTTTAAACTTTTTTTTACTGTGACATTAGCTTTTAGCTTGACTAACCTAGCTTCCTCGTTACTCTACAGACTGACATTGATAGCTTTTTTTTTTTTACAAATGCTGTATTTTGGTAAAGTCTTGAGAGCAGAACCTGTCACACAGCACGCAGCTATCCGGCATGTGCTTACTGAGCTTACTTCTAGGCCAAGCACCCTGCTGCCCGTAGAAACAGCATGAGTAGGCGAGGCACCTGCCCTACCAGTGAGTGCCCCGTCTGCACGTGGGCACGTAGGCAGAAGAACATGGTGAGAACTGTTACCACATCATGCCTGAGCTGAAGCCTCAAGGGACAGCCAAAAAGAAGCGGCCCGGACGAGATGGATTAACACCGTAGCTGCAACCGTGGGCTCAAACGTAAGACCTACAGTGAAGATGGTCCGGGACCTGACAGTGTTTAAGTCTGTGGGTCACTGAGTCACAACTGACTCGGCAGCACCAAGCAACACCACAAGTGCATTGTGAGTTGGGCTACTAACCACAAGGTCAGTAGTTCAAACACACCAGCCTCTTCTGGAGAAAGCTGTGACTGAACTCCTGTGAAGAGCTACAGTCTTGGGAACGCACAGGGGTGCTTCTACTCTGTACTACAGGGTGGCTGTGAACCAGAAGGGACTCACTGGCAGTGAGTTTAGAGTTTGGGGTTTAACTCCTGCCTCAAAGCATTTAACTTCAAACTCACCAGCTGCTCCACAGCTCAGACATGGCAGTCTGGAGATTCCCATCTTGGAACCCTCAAGAGGCGGTTCTCGTCGGTCCTATAAGATCACTAGCAGTTGCAAGTAACTCCAAGGCCGTGGGTTTGGTTGGGTTTGGAGTGAACACACAACTCAGAGTGTGCTTCTGTCCAAAACCGCTCAGCTCCTTTGGCAGGTGATGGAAACAGCCGTGTCAGCACCTTACTGACTCCCTGTGAGGTCGGCCTTGTCTGTCCTCCACCGGATCCATTTGTGGGCCTGTGAATGGGGACCTGGATCTCTGCCTGCTTCCAAGCCTCCCCATTTTGGGCCATGTGACTCCTCCACTTGAGTGGAACTTAGTCACCACAATATCATCTTAGTAGAGACCAGGAATGGCAAACTTTTGAGACCGAAGAGCCAATTCTGACCCTCATGACAATTTTAAAATTATTCGAGAGCCATAAAGATATTTTACAAACCGATGCCATCTGCATTATCTGAATATCTTCACCATTATCTGAGTAAACACCCTGTCACTTTTGTCGGTTTCACTTCAGAACCACACGTGTACTGACAGAGCCGCACATGGCTTGAGAGTTGCAGTTTGCTGGCGCCTGCTATGAACTATAAGTTGGCTTTTTCCCCTTCTTGTTTTCAAACTCATATGACTGCCCCCACCCCCTGGACTGTTCTCCTTGCTCCAAACATAGGTTTATATGCCAACAGACTAGTTCTTCAGATCACCAGCTTGGCCCTTGAAATCTGCCACGGGTCAATCCCACTGCTGCCCAGGCCCTCGTTCTGAGTGATCTCGGAACTTAGAGCCATGTAAAGCAACCCATTTCTGTAAATAAAGTAGGTAAAGCCAGTGGCGTCGCAGAGGGAACAAATCCTTGGAGGTAGGAGTGGATAAAGTTCTCATGGCGGAGACTGGACCTGGATCCACTCTCAAGTGTAATGGCTGGGTTCTTGCGTGGAAGATTATGGAGTGGTCTGCTTTCTGTGAATCCAGGGGTTAGAATAGAATCCTATGCACTTACCTTTTTTCCTCTTAGGGATGAGTTAGACTGTGTTTTACTTTCCTGTGGAGAGAGGAGAGGAAACAGAAAGCTGTACACAGAAGAAAAAAGATGTCCATGAGCGGTGTGAGCACCGGCCCAGGCCGTCACAGTGCCTTCAGTACACACCGAGTCATGAGGCTGACAGCCAGCGCCTTCAGAGCCACGTAACTGAGCTTCCGTAGCACCTGGCATAGTTGCATTGCTTACTTAGTTCCCTTATCAAAATATATATGGTATGATGTGTATCAAGATCCCGCCTTATAAAAATACCACCAATTCTAGCAGATGCTTAATTTCAGAGGTAGTCTTATTTCTTGCCATAATATTTAAGATGTGTTTTTAAAAAACAAAACAACGAGAAGTCGTTTCTGGTCTAGGGCTGGACTTGGGGGAGATCTGAGTTCAAGGATCATAGCTTAGGTAACAGGTCCCTTAGGGATCATCCCTGGAGATTCTAGTCATCCTTCGTTTTACAGATGAGGAAACCAAGATCCACAGAGGCACACTCAGATGGCACTGCTAATTAGGAGAATGGCCTGAATGGGGTTCAGGCCTCCATCTTCCCTAACTGCGACCCGACCCACCCCCCGCCTTCCCACTCCCGAGTGAAAACACACAGCTACTAGGTAGGTAGCCCCCTACATTTTGTGTCACACAGGTTTCTTATATCCTGGTTTTATGTTGGTTTCATTGTATGCTGTCTGTGGAAGTGTTTAGAATTGTATTCTCTACATTCCTTTCTTTTTTAATAAGGAAAGAAACATCAGTAGTTTTCATTCTTTTCCTAATTATTTCTATTCATGTGATAGAATAAGATGTAAAATTATACCTCATCTCAGCTTGGCAGCTGCTGCATCATGTAAGTTCCTCCAAGTGGAACACACCTGCTCTGTGGCTGTGTGTGCCAGGTCCCTTCTAGTGTCGTCTCCTCGGCACGGGGTCAGAGGGTGAGAGAGCAGCATTTGTTGCTGGCTCTCCCAGTGCACAGGGACGAGGTGAGGCTTGAGTTAGCTATTTCCCACAGGAGACCAGAGAGACCCCAAAGAAATCAAATGCCCTGGGGGAGGCGGGGTGAGTAGGAGAATGTTTTCCTCCTCAGCCATTCCAGAACATTTTTCCAAGTATGCTGTAAATTCGCATCTAGCAAAAAAGAGAACGTTGGTACTATCAGCAAGGAAAGAAATTCAGAAGTGTTGAAAGCAGTAATGCTGATAAACTTGGCTTATATTTTGTTTGGATTTTGTATTTTATTCAGGGGGGAGGGGGGTTGTTTTATTTTTTTCTTTTGTTTTTGCTAACCTAAGCATTAACCTACATCATTCATTTGAAGGAAACTATTGTTAAAATCCCTTTTGTTTTATGTTTGATGACGCAGTGGTTATATGTTGGGCTAGAAGTTCAAAACCACCAACTATTCTGAGGGAAGGAGGCTTTTTACTCCCTTAAAGAGTTAAGTCTAAGGAACCCATAGGGGTAGTTCTACCATGTCGTATACACTATGAGTCAGAATCAACTCGATGATAATGAGTTTGGGGTTTGGTTTTTGTTTCTTGGTTAGGTGGGGGCTGGATAAAAGTGATATATTCTATTGTTTAAAATAGTTTAGCCAGTGAAGAATAAAGTGAAAAATAAGGACCCGCTGTCCTAATGTTCATATTCACTCTAACCATGTCTTGCATATCCCACTAAGAACATTCTCCACAGAGAGAAGCGTGGGGGGGGGGCTTAGAGGGGGGTGATGCCATTCATCCTCAAGCGGATTCCACTTCATACATGCCTGTGCTCATGTCTCACCTAGTCTTTGTTTTTATGAACCTACAATCATACTTCATACTCTCCTTTTTCTTCTTTCAGCTTTCATAATACATACTGGACATATTTTATTCAGACAGACAGTTTTATTTTGTAGCAGTTGTGTGGTATTAAAATTTTTTTGTTTTGTTTCCTAATTCTTAAAATTAAGACTGTTGGTGTTGTTCTTGGGTGCCATCAAGTCAGATCCGACCTGTAGGGGTGCTATGCGCAGCAGAAGGAAACGCTGGATGGGCCTGCACCCCCTCATTGTTGTTCATGCTGGAGCCCATTGATACAGCCTCCGTGTCAATCTGTCTCTCTCCCTGAGGACCTTCCTCTTTGTCAACGACCCTCTACTTTACCAAGCAAGTTATATTTCTCCAGGGACTGGTCTTTCCTGACAGTGTGTCCAAAGTGTGTCTGACTAAGTCTTGCCATCCTTGCCGCTAAGGAGCACTCTGGCCTTACTTCTTCCAAGAGAGATGGGTTTGTCCTCTTAGCGGTCCATGGGACATTCAATGTGCTTCTCCAGCGCCACAGTCCAGATGCATCCATTCTTCTTCCGTCCTCCTCATTCAGTGCCCAACTTTCATGTGCATCTGTGGCAATAGAGAATGCCATGGCTGAGGTCAGGTGCACCTTGGTCCTCAGAATAACCTCCTTGCTCTTCAGTGCCTAATGAAGTCTTGTACAGCAGACTTACTTAATTTTAAATTAGGTAAAATTTTAAATTAGGCCTGGTTTGTTTTTGTGTTGTTTTTTTGAGAATGCTATTTTCTTTTCTGCACATTGGAACACAATATAGAGAAGTACCATCTGTAAGTGTTT